AGCAGCAGCTCTCATGCTCTCCCCATAGCTCACCGAAGCTACGCTCACTTCCATCTAAGACATAGGTACACGGGGGGACACACACACATACACATTGACTGGGCTCCTTCCTGAAGTATGGGTACAGAAATTGCATGCTGTTTCCTATCTGCTCTTGCCACCTAGGGATATGGTTATGGTGGGCACAGTTCTTTCTGTGATTCTTAGTCATCTACCCATCTCGTGCCATTATTGCCCCGTCCGTGTCTGCTCCCCAGAGACCCAAAGTCCAGCCCCAGACTACTGCCTCCAATCTGCTTACTGGAGAAAGTATGCTCAGTGCTTCAAGCTTAGGATGCAGCTTCTGATCATCTGTCCAGGGAAAGATGGGTCCCTAGGAGGACAGTTCGGGCTTACGCTAGAGTGGTGAGCCAGGAACCCAAATCTGAACTCTACTCACATCAAGCATTAGCCCCATGGCTCTGCTCGTCTCTCTTCTTCAACCCTTCTGCTCCTCATCTGTGGGTAGGGATGGTAATGCCATTTACTTCAAAGGCTGCTGCAAAGCCTGAACATCAAACGAGATCGTTGATTCAACAGCAAGGACGCACTGAGTATCCGCTACACGGCGGCACGCTCATGTGCTTTGGGTGGAGTGCTGAGCCGACAGGCTGGTCTCTGGCTGAGCTCACCTTGGGCAAATCCGAGCTTAGGTACCCAATAAAACCAAATAGAATGCAGGGAATTTGGCTTAATAGAGATCCTATTAGCTACCTTAGGTGTAGACATACTTAACATTGGTTTATGAAAGCATGGTTATGTATCGGTGTTTTCTGTTCATTCATGGGTTTTATGGGATTTAGTGTTGCCGATAACCAAGTGTGTGTACAGATGCCTGGTACCAGGAAACCCTTCTACAACACCTGTGCAGAAAGCATCCTCCCCAATTCTAGGCTAAGGAAAATGGTTTCAGAGAAGCAAAGTGACTTGTTCAAGGTCCACAGAGATTTGGATCTAAGAAAGGTGCCCCTCAAGCATGTGCTCCAGGGCACAAAGGATGCTACCCCTGAACCACTCAGACACAAAGTGAATGGGAAAGGGCTCTGCACACCCTAGAGCCTGGGCAAGAGCAAGGGACTACTGTGACTCCCTTCCCCGCTGTGCATCTGGTCCCTTAGCAGGACACAGAGCAGAGAAGTCGGCAACAGGAGCCAAGGAGTCAACTGCATAGGGACTCCACGGAGGGGACACTTGGTGGGCACAGGTGCCATCCATCCCTCTGGTTGATGCTTCTTCCAGATTCTCTAATACTGGGTGTGGGAAGCATCCCTGGGACCCTATTGTTCTGAGGCTAGCCATTAGCTGGCTACTCTTCCTGTTCACAAGGCCAGCTCCATTGCAGATTGTCCCTATACTCGAGATCTGCCATCTGGGCCATGGATCTTAGTGACAGACAAACCCAGGTCTGAAACCCAGTGTGGTGACTTCTGGCAGGCCCTCTAATCACACTGTCCATGGGGCTGTTGTCAAAATGGAAGATGACATCTTCAGAACCCAACAGGATAGAGCCTAGCGCGAAGTCGTTGTGACAAAGACAGGGACAAGAGGCCTTGGAGGACACCGCCAGAGAGGAGTCCTGCCTGGTGCTGCTTACAGGTGTAGCCAGCCTGCAAGAAGCAGGGATAACACCGAATCCAGCCAATTAGGAGAATTCCCCATAAAAAATTTAATTTTCCAATAAAAGAACAGTGCAAAATGAAATAGGTGAAGCATTTTTAAACTGTAAATTAATGATCTATAGTTATAGCCATAATAACAATAATAGCTACCAATTAGAGAATGAGGGCCGAATCTGGGCCAGGAGCTAAATGTGGGAAGCCCTGGCCTTCTGAGATTGAAATCCTCAGTGACACTAGACTTCAGCAGGGCAGCCACTTGCAGACATGGTGTGGCAACGTTAGCCCTCCTCGATCCCCAGTTCTCACTCCGCTGCCCGGGCCTTTGTGGACATACCGAGGGAAATGTCATGAAAAGTAGCCTCTCCCCAAGTGAAACAGCCTTGCTCTGTAGCGCTGTTCTCTGATACTGGCTCTGCTTCTGGGCCAGGATCACCTGATGTTCCTTCCCCTACTGGGTCAAAGATAGAAAAGACTCAGCTCTCTGAGGACTGGAGTTTGTGGGCCCTGAAGCAAAGTTACTGCATTCACACCTTGAACAGAGACTGCTTCAGTAGGGACTTAGCAGAGCTCATCAGCCTCTCTGGGCCTCTACTTGTGTGCATGTATGGGTGTGCATGCATATTCATGTATGTGTGCACATACAGGGGTTACATATGCATGTATATGTGCAGGCATGTGGAGGTCAGAGGACAACATCAGCTACTGTTTCTCAGGTACCGTGATGTTTTGAGACACTGTCTCTCACTGGCCTTGAGCTCCCCAGGGAGGATGGACTTGCTAACCCACAAACTCCAAGGCTCCACCCATCTCTACCTCCCCAGTGCTGGGATTACAAGTGTGTACCATCACACCTGGCATTCCCTTTCAGCCATGGCTCTCAGGATTCCCTCCAACAAGAAAGATAAGAGACAGGCTAACCACCACCCACAGCCATGCCCCTACTGACCTCTTTAAATGCACCAGTGCTGGAAAGCATCAAACATGGTGCGCACACACTAGGAGTTCAGTAAATGTCAAGAGCTCTGAGCACAGAGTTTGCCTTAGCAAACATACAGTCCTCTTTCTTTGAGGGCTACCACAAAATGACAAACCCAGGAGGTGTGGGTCAGCCAATGAGTGACCCCAGCCCCCCCCCCAAAAAAGTCCTCAACAATATGTCTGACTATTTTCTCAGAGCTGGGGATGGACTGAATCCCAGACCTTGTCCTTACTGGGCTTTCTACCACTGGGCTACCTCTCTGGCGCTTGGCTTTTTGAGACAGGTTCCTGCTTTGTAGCCCAGGCTAGCTTGGGTTCTCATTTTTTTCCATCTTATCCTCCCTGGTCCTGTCATCACACATGTGCACTGCCATACCTAAGAAAAGTGTATTTCCTAAAGAAAATGACATTGGTCTGTCCCTCTGCTGCATTTTAAAATAGCCATTTTACAGGTCACCCACTGACCGACCCACACCTCCTGGGGCTGCCATTCTTATAGCCCTGAAACGGCACCTTCTCAAACCTTGATGCTCACTTGCCTTCTATCTAGCTGACTCTCAGCTGCTGTAGCCGTCCCTTTAAATGCCCTGTCCCTCCCAGGCTTTGCTCGTTTCAGTCTCTAAATGGTGACAAGTCCCACCACTCTCTCCAATCAGTCTCTGGTCCAGGCATCAGTGGCTGCTGCTATCCTCAGGGGCCTGAGCTGATGCAGCCCAGCTTTCCTCCTGGCCTCCCTGGGGCCAGCGTGTCTCACTTCCCTAGCTTCGCTGAGAGCTTTGAAAGGCAGCAGCTTGCTGTAGGCACTGCAGAGCCCTGCCAGCTCCCTGACACCTGATTAGGGAGCACACAGAGCCATCTGCAACTTGCTCTGCCAGGCAGTCATTGATAGGGTGGCTGGCCCCATGCTTTCCAGCCCAGTCGGGCTGGTTCTGTTCTCAGCTCGAGAAATGTTCAAGGGCCTGACTTGCCGGTCTGAGAACTAGGTGTGGTACTGAATGTCACTGGCTAATTACGTTTAATCATTATTAATAGGTATGCACTAATTATCTCTTGCATATAGGCAAGATTTTTACAGATGAGGTAAAAGGACTTGGGGAGGGATGGATCTGCCCAAGGCTACCAACTGAGTGGGTTAACAGGCTGGGACTGGCACTGGGGCAACTGGGGCCCTTAGTGGGGACTCCCTCGGAAGTGAGGAGGGCATGCGTGGGTGGCATCGGGCTGTTGAACCGGGACTGGACCTGGAGAGCAGTCTTCGTAGGTCACCAGAACTTCAGGCTGGCCTCTCCCCTCCCCCTCTAGGAATGCAGTCTACTGAAACCTCTTATTAAAAGTATTCTGGAGGTGATAAAAGTGTCAGAAAAGATTTGCTCATTTTCTAAACTGTCATTAAACCAAAATTTATAGTCCCGGGAAATCTCAGCAGTGGAGGACAGAGGTGGGCAGAGAGAGGAAGGATGATTTAAAATCTCTCCCTTAATAAATTAAAAGACGCTCACTTAGAAGAGAGGGCTCCAAAAGGAAATTGCTAGAAAGTCGTTGCTTTCTCTGCTCCTGGCGGGCAGCATCTTTGCAGGCTGCCAACCACACCTCAAACTCTTGCCGTCTCCCCTTCTCTCCTATCCAACCTCCTGTGCTCCTGATTAATTCATGTCACCAGAGGCCACCAGCCACCCACAGCCTCTTCAACAGACCTTGGTCAAGGTCCGTCCCTTGGACCCTGGCTTCTGAAACCCAAGTGACCTGCTTCTCATGCCCACTGCATCATAGGATTTGTGCCTGTGCTAGCTGGTTTTCTGTTTTGTTTTGTTTTGTTTCTTAACTTGACCCAAAACTAGATATATCTGGGGAGGGAGAATCTCAATTGAGAGATTCCCTCCTTCAGACTGGCCTGTAGGTAAATACGTGGTACAATTTCTTATTAATGTTTGATGTGGGAAAGTTGAGATGACTGTGAGTGGTGCCACCCATGGGCAGGTGGTCTTTGAATGTGTAAGATGTCAGCCTGAGTAAGCCATAGGGAGCCAGCCAGGAAGAGGTCTCCGCATCAGCTCCTGCCCCAGGTTTCTAGCTTGTCTTCCCTCCAAGGACGGTGATCCAGTGTACGTAAGATGCTTTGGATCATAGCGTCCATGACAGTGATGGAAAGGACACTAAGACAGCCCCAGATGGAGTCCTGTCTCCAGTTAGGGCTCGATTCATTATCCTTACGATGTCCCCACAAGGGATGGCAGAGTGCTTCACATGGAATTTGTGAGTACCCGGACAGGAAACATTGCCAGAGTTGGTAGGGTCGAGCCTGGATTCTGGCAGCCCTTCTAGGCTAGGCTTGATCTCTGGTCCACAATAATCCAAACAGGCAAGTAATGGTGAGAAACAGAAAATGGAGATTTATTCACTTGAGAAGAGGAACAAAGGGGTGTTCCATGTCTGTCTTCGGGGTCCTAACAGAAAGTTCGGGGTGCAGAGCTAAGCAGTTGGTGCCTGGGTGTAGCCCCGCCATAGTCTTGGCCCTATTCTCTCCTGCAAGGTGGTCTGACAAGCCATGAGAATTCTGGGAGGTCACTTTCTGGGAAAGAAGTTCTCCCTTCTGGCACCCAGGACCCAACCTTTCTCTTCTCCCAGCATGAGAGTCCCCGGGAAATGCCAGCGTCTTGAGTTCCGTTGTCAGTTCCAGTCTGTCGGTGGAAAGGAGGCAGCTCCTGAGTTTCTTCAGAATCTTCAATTCCTGCAAGGGTGGTGGGTTACAAAAGTGAGGTGACGAACCCAAAGAGTCCACATCCTCGTTTTCTCCATGGGGAGCCTGAGACTCAGACATGTGATGGCATTCACCCGAAACCACACAGCACAGCCACAAGCACCCTGCCTTGCCGAGCAGAGTACTCAGGAGCCGTTGCTGTGACTCTTCACCACCCGTTGGTTAGGTGACCTACAGTAAGTCTCTAGGCCCTGGCAGAGCACCTGAGCTCCTCAGTCAGCCTAGACACTCTCGGTTGCTGTGCTTAGAGATGTTCTTACCCATCATTCATTGCTGCTTCTGCAATTGCAACCAACGGGGACAGCATCGTGGCTGGAAGCTGGCAGAGCTGCTGTCCCTTGCCTGACCCACTTTATCTGCTCCAGCCTAAGGGGTAGTGTTTTGAGGATGGGACCATTGGGACAGTCCTTGACCCTCTGGGCGGGAGGAAGGGGCTCGCATTCCCTCACCCACTGGAAGAGACCAAGGGTCTTATTTTGGCTCAGAGGACCAGTCCAGCAGGAAGGCTTAGGGGAAAGGAAGAGGGTGTGCCTGGCTGAGGTGAGGACAAGGACGTGGGGTGCTCAGCAGATGCCCAGCCACCAAGAAGGAGAAGTGAGAGAACAGATGGGGCCAGGTTGGGGTTCTCAGACCCCGGCCAGGTTAGTAAGGTGCAATGTGCACCCTGCTGCTCAGCTGGGACCCTGGGGAGACTCCAGAATAAGGGCTGGGGTTGGGTGGGGCTGACTCAGGTCAGGCCTGAGTGGCTTGCCTGTTCCCTTCCTTGTTCTGATCCCTGCTTTCCAGACTGCAGGCCAAGCGGGGGGTTCACACTAAGGCAACACGCCTTATAAGAATTCAAGCAAGCCGGGTGGTGATGGTGCACACCTTAATCCCAGCACTTGGGAGGCAGACGCAGGCAGATCTCTGTGAGTTTGAGGCCAGCCTGGTCTACAAGTCTACAGAGCTAGTTCTAGGACAGGTTCTAAAGCAACACAGAGAAACCTTGCCACGAAAAAACAAAACAAAAGAATCCAAGCAGTATGTTCCAGGACCTAATGAGAGCCTTCCGTGTACATGCCAGAAGGCCTAGGATGGGAGGAGAGAGGAACAGGGTGTTTATTTGCCTGAATTTTTGGGCACACATACTCAGTCACTGTCGTGACAGCATCCTGGAGAGATCCCTGAGGGCTAAGACCCCTGGGCTTCTTGGAGAAGGAAGGAGAACCTGGTGCCGGCCTTACAGGCACTGTTCACATAGGCTAAGAGAGATAGTGGACCAGCCAGAGAAAACTCTGAAACCCCAGCCACTGTAGGCTAAGAGGGGCCTGCCTTTCTCGAGCTCTGGAAAAACGATGGGGCTTCTTTCACTTAGAGGCTGCAGAATGAAAACCCAACTTCTCAGAGATTCTCCAGGCTGTTTGGAGGGTTGTTACCAACCTCTGCCCGGAAGCAAGGGAAGGCACCCTGGCTACCAGCTGGAGACTCCTGTGGCTAGCTTTGGGACTACTGTACCCCTCCCATCTCCCCGTGCCCCTCCTCCCTACCTCCTCCTTGTCTTTCTCTTCCTCCTCTCTGTTACTCTTCTCTATAAAACACTGGCCCACTTAGCATCTGTGGTTCTGTCTTTGGCTGTTTGGTTTTTATGTGGTAGCAGGCCTGTTCTTTTCCTGTTCCTCACCCCCATCCCCCACCCCACCCCACCCCTGACCTTGCTCCTCCTATGTCACCTTCAATTTATGCCCCTCCCTCTGCCCCAGCACTAGCGGACAGAGGCTGGGATTCCAAGCCAGAGCTACTCTGGGGACACCAGGCAGGCCTCCTGGAGGCTTCTGCCTGAGGGAGAGCAGCTCCCCACTTTAATCCCAGGGTGATCTAACTAGGGCTCCTTTGACCTCCTCTGCCTTTGATCTCCATCTCCCTTTGAACCATCTTGTTGAAGCCTATTGACTTCAGATGTTCTCAAACACCCCAGGCAGCTGGGAGGGGCAGGGAGCAGCAGGCCAGGAGCCAGGCTGGTACCCTAGAGACCATATAACTAGCTCTTACTGGGCTGAGCCAGAGGCTGCCTGTAGCATGGATGGCTGGGTTGCATGGGAAGGAGGGCTGCCATGGGGGGCATGAACTGAAGAGTCCAAACTTTTAGCTCTCACCCAGCTTGCAGTGATTGCCAGGTGCCCGGGACAGATTTAACTCATTTTCTCGGGTGGACGTTCTGTTCCGTTAGCTTGCAAAGATGATCCTGAGTCTGAGGTTGGGTGCAGTAATGCGTGAAAAATGCTCTGGGAACTTATTAGTATACAGAAAATGCTCATAACCATGCCATTTCCTCCCCATCTCCCGCACCTCTCGCCATGACTCACTGAAGTCCTGGCCTGAAGGGCATCCCTGTGATGACAGATGGGACTTTAGTTACCGCGACTGCTTAATAGACGGGTTGACCAGCTGCATGGAGGGGTTTAATGTCATCCACTCCATGCCCGTGGCCTTGCCTGCCCCCAGTGAGCAAGCACGAGGTTGTCCCTTCATGCTGTGCCTCCTGGCAGCTCAGCTGTCCAAGCACAGCCATCCAGGGAGGCCACGGAGGAGGAGCAAAAAGCTGACAACATGCACGGAAATGAGACCAGGCATGAAGCTATTCTCTCACACCACGCCTTAGCCCCTGTGAAACTTTGCCCAAGACCAACCACATGTGTTTCACAGGGGAAACTAGGTGAGCTGAGAGGTTACAGGCAAGAGGCCCCACCCTCTCAAGGCCAGATCTGAGGCTTTTCCTGGTCCTCTGACTTCCAGGCTAGTCTACTGCTTGTACCCCCGGGAGATCCCTCACGTAGTCCTGTGAGGAGCTTTCCTCTGAAGGCTCTGAGACATTGCCCCCTGCCCAGTGTCTGAATGGAAGGGGTCATTTTGCTCAGCTCTCTCTGAAGTAATGGAAGAGTTTTAACTCACAGTGGCACAACCCTGCTCTTTATGAGGGAATATTTGGGCCAAGGGATTATTATTATTGGGCAAGTTGGAGAGAGGCCAGCTGTGGCCGGACCCCTGGATTGTGCTGCCCCTGTAACTCACTGTTAGGGCTCTTTGGTGGGTAGAGAAGTGAAATGGGAGCATTGTCCTTTGCTGCCTGCTAGAGGCTTCTGGAGTTGTTCACCAACACTGATGGCTGGAGCTAGCCCACAAGATTGAGGGGCCTTTTTAGGATGTGACAAAGATTAGGGGACTTTTAAAGCTCCCAGAAGCTCCACTGTGAAGCCAGAGTTGGCGAACACTGAGATCAGTTCTGGAATGTCCATCCTGTGGTAAGTTTGAAGCACACGGAACACAGGAAATGCTGTCTATGTGTTTCTACACCTCCCTGTGTGCCGTTGCACACATGAAAGAAGCTAGGAGCACGGCGTACAGCAGAGTTAACAAGAGTTGCAAATCTTAGTCCTTATTTTTTTTAATTACATCGATTGATTGATTGACTGATATTGATTGATGCGGAGGCACACACAAGCCATGGCATGCATGTCAAGGTCAGAGGACAATTTGTAGGAGTTGATTTCTCTTTCTATTTTGTGGGTCCCAAGTCATCGGCCTTGGCGGCAAGTACCGCTACCCACTGAGCCATCTTGACAGCCCAGTCCCCTCACTTTAGAGAGAAGGGCAAGAGGGTGAATGACTTACAAAACATTCAGAGGCCCAAGATCAGACATAGCCTCCACAATCCTGTGTCTGTTTACATCTCAAGATCTAAGACCAAAAAAAGGGTGCAGAGACTGGCATGTTCACGACTAGTTAACATGGGTTCTTTGTTTCCTCGCCTGCTGCAAAAGTCTAGGTCCAACCAGCTTTGGCCTGGTTTGCAGCAGAAACAGGAAGGAACACGGCTGCTTCCAGCCACTGAGCCCTGCCAGGCCTTCCCCTCCAGGAACATTATGTATATAGGATGCACCTAAGTGAAGAGCTAGAACTCCCTTCCAAGAGCCCTTGGAAGCCATGTGATCTTGAGAGCTGGTAAGCCCTGGTTTCCCCATGGGGTGAGTGGCAGGCCATACCTGCCCAGACTCCTCCACAGAGAAGCTGAAGCGAGTGTCCAGGAATGAAGCATCCAAGCAAAAGATCATCACCTTCCTTGCATGAGTCAAGGAATTCTCCAGCACATCGCCTTCACTGATCTGCTAGGCCTTATTGTCCCCTCTATTCTACCTGGCCTTCTGAGTCAGACAGCCAGTGACCAATAATCTTGGTTTCCATGGTACCCTCTGGGTCTTCCTCTGTGCCTCTCTGTAGTGAGTCAGCAGCAGGAAGAAACATGAGCAAGGAGGGAAAGGCCAGGCTAAAGCAGACCCTTCAAAGCGAGGGTGCAGCTGGCTGCCCTGAGACCTTCTGGACCACAGGACTTGGGTCACTGGTTAAGTGTCCAAGGGAACCTATAAAGAACCAGTTCAGCATCCAGAAGGGCTGTAAGTTCAAGGATAGTTTAATTCACAACATCTCAGTCCATGGGAAGGACCCAGGCTCTGGAGCCTGACAGATCTGAGATCAGTTCAACGGATGTTGCGAATCTCCTAAGCTTCCCTGAACACGACAGTGGCACATGTAAAATGGAGAGGAGAACAGTTGCCTTGTGGAGTCAGCTAAGGATTAAAATTACAAATGTTAAAGCAAACAGCTGTTATTGTTATTTACAGCTTTGCTGAGGCCCTCCTACAAGCCGCATGCGCACTCTCTCCCAGCATCCTCCCTGCCTCTCTCTAGGCTAGATGGAGCACACACCAAGGAGAGGGCAGGGCAGAGTCAGCAGACTTAGACTCTAACTCTGCCTTGCACTGGCTAGAGGACCACAGAGAAGTCTCCTTACCACCGAGAGATCATCTGGAAAGCCAGAAGGATGATGAGCAGGAGAGGGTAGAAATACCAACAGCTCACACTTGCCCAGCAGTTACTGAGGGGGAGGGAAAGGTGCTTGCACAAGAATCCTTGAAGGCTTCAAAAGCATCCTTTCTTCCTTCCTTCCTTTCTTCCTCCCTCCCTCCCTCCCTCTTTCCTTCCCCTTCCTTCCTTCCTTCCTTCCTTCCTTCCTTCCTTCCTTCCTCTTCCTTTCTTGTTTCCCTCCTTTTTTCCTCCCTCCCTCCTTCCTTCTCTACTTTCTCTTTTGAGACATGATCAAACTTCACAGCCCAGGCTAGCCTCCAAGTCACTGTGCAGCCCAGACTGCATTTGTAGCAGTAATCCTTCTGCCTCACCCTAATCCACACAGGTGTGTTCCACCATGCCTGGCTTGAGCTGGATCCACTTATATTTACCTGTCTTTTTCTCTTTTCTCCTCCTCCTTCCTTTTCTTCCTCATTGTTCTTCTTGAGATAGGCTAGCTTCAGATCCACTATGCAGCCCAAGATGGCCTTGAATTCCTGATCCTTCTGCCTCCATTTCCCAAGAGCTGAGTACCACCGTTCCCTGCCTCTGCTGTTTCTCTTTCCCTTCCCTCCCCTCCCTTCCCCTTCACTTTGTTTTCCTTTGTGTACCCTCCTTCCTGAGGAAAGACTCAAACCTAGGGTCCTGTATATGCTGCGCCAGTACTCTACCCCTGGAACACATCCTTGAAGGCCCCTCTCACAAGCTTTCTGCAAGGGACACCCTCTGCTACAACCTTAAAGTGATCCCTACTTGTATGCATGAGAAAACTGAGACTCAGAGGAGTTAAACAGCCTGGCCTAAGGTCTCCCGGGTTGTAAAGAGCTGAGTTTTTCATCTGAGTGTAGGTGGCCACTCATTCACAGGGTCTGGACCCTGAGCTCAGTCAAGGCATGACTGCTGAGGAGCCTCAGGCCGTCCGCAAATGAATCACCTTCACAGCGCCTTCAGCCTACTTTCCAAAGGATCCTCCAATTTGACTGATCTTCCCTGGCCACATGGCCTCACCCGGCATACACTGCTCCTTCAGAGGAGGGCACCAAGGGATTGCTGAGAGTTCCTCTGGATCCCATGGTAAGCCTGAATCCAAGGCAGGACTTTGGGACTCCACCCCTTTTCCAGGTGTTTGCTGTGACCGTAGGTGTGGTGGTGTGATGGTGTGATAGCGTGGTGGCAGATGCCTGTGTTTTCGTTTTTGTTTTTTTTTTTTTCCTTTTTCGAGACAGAGTTTCTTTGTGTGCCAGCCCTGGTTGACCTGGGACTCACTCTATAGACAAGGCTAGCCTCCAACTCATAGAGATCCACCTGCCTAAAAGCATGTGCTACTACCACCTGACATGCCTGTGTTCTTGATGGGGCTGGGCCTTTGATGCTGGCTTAAGAAACGTTTGGTATCACTAAGATAGTTTGCTTATCTGGAAGCTTTCACGTTGGAACCCTAACAGCTTGCAGTCTAGGTTCTGATGAGAGCCAGGCAACAGCTCCTAAGGACATAATGTCTCAGAAGCTTCTCTCTGGCCTTCTTTCCTGGAACACAATGGGTTGTGCTGGAGAGCTATGGATTCTTTCAGGTTCCGGGGTCCCCTTCAGGCTCCTCTCTGGGTATTTTTAGGTGCATTTAATTTGGTGGATCTGAGCACTTTTGATTTTATAATGATTAGTTGGAGCCTGGGCACTCGCCTGCTTTTCTTCTTCCTGCTGCCTGTCTCCCCCAAGGGGACTGGGTGTTGTTTTGACTTTTATATGCTACAATAAAAACTTTCAT